GCATGTGTCGCTTGGCGAATGATTTACAACGAACGGTCCTGACCATTCGACAATTTTATCTCGCATGCGGTAACTATGTGTATCCAAGCATGTCACTTGTCACTGTCACATAGATCTAATATAAAATAATTTTTATAATAATTACCAAATTTTCATTAGTCATTATGTCATTAACTTTACTTAGTTATTATTATGAGGACTAGTCTTCATAGTTATTGTATTTGAGTCATTCCATACAAAATCGTCTGAAAATAAAAAAAATTGTTGCCGATCCATTTTAGATTTTGGTGTAACTTTGAGGAACTATTCCTTAGGGTCCCAAAGAAGAAAATTTACACGAGTTTGTTTTTTATAAACACTCCTTTCCACCTATTTAAATAATCGATATTTTTAAGCCTTAGCGACTTTTCCTCTGAAAATTTTCTTTTTGAAGATAACGACATTATTAAAGCGAAATTCTGAGGGGGAAAGATAGTAGTTTAAGTGTAAGCATCGATAATTTGCTTAGTCAATACCTCTGATTAACGGCAGCGTGCTGAAAATGAGTATTTTTTGATCATTTTTTGTGAATTTCAATCGAGTCTAGCGTCTTAACTGCTTAGACTTAGCAGCTTATGTTCCTCAGAAATTAAGTGTATATATCATAGATAAAATACAGCCACAAGTCAACCTGAGCAGCCCACTCTTTGCAGAAAAAAACTTTGCTTGAAGTTTTGAAATTTTCAAAAATTGCATAATTTAGGGTATATAATGAACATGTTGACTGCCAGATAAAAATCTGAAACTCTCAGAATCTACTGTTTTTACCTTTAACTTTAAATGACCGTACCACTTGTTTTGTTATTTTTATGTTTAGTGCATGTGCTAGTCGTTTTTTACAGCAAAAATCAACTTAATTTTTTATTTCTTTCCAAAAAACTAGATGCTTCTATTTTGAAAAAAATTTCGACTTATGTATGAGATTCTTATATATCTTTATGAAAAAACATCAAGAAAAACTGAATTTATAAGATTATAAAATAAAAAAAATTGAGCTGATTTTTGCTGTAAAAAACGACTTGCACATGCACTAAACATAAAAATAACAAAACAAGTGGTACGGTCATTTAAAGTTTTCATTTCATTTACGATTCTAGAAAAACAAACTGATCAAGTTAACATCCCTTTTCACCCTTCTTTTGAAGGTATGTCCACCAAGGCAAGACCCGATCCTTTTTGCTATTTTCCCTCTACAGAAAAATATCATGACCTCCCATTTTTTCGGGAGATTTCTGTTCGTTTTCTTCTTTAATATCATTCCCTAATTTCTTCGTTGACACTTTAATAGTAATTCTAAAAACATCCTATCTTAAGACTATTATTTGCCTAAAAGTTTCTTTGTGGATCTTACACCGAACACCGGCTGAGAAGCTGTTAACTGAAAAACATCTTATATATGGAATATCTACTATTCCAAGACGAATTTGATGTATACGATGCTTACAAAAAAACGTTTTACTACTTGCAGACATTTTTGGTTAAGCACATAAAAGGTTTATTAGTCCATAAAGCACCTAAAAATCAATCAGAGGCAAATAGAAGCCAAAAATCAGTCTGAACGCCACATTATGAGGTTTTTCACGATCAATGACGACATAAAGAAAATTATGCAATTCAAAAAACCAGCTATACTTCAAACAATAGAAAACTTACTAACGAAATAATATAATTTACAAAAATAAACTTATAGCCTCATTCACAAAACTTAAAACACTTAAAAATATAAAAACGTCATTGACGTTAAAAGAGAGTTGAGCGATATTTGAGGAACTGTTATTTAATAATTTATAACTTGGTAAACTGACATTTTTTTACAGGTTTGTCGACTTCTTAAATATTTTCCAGGAAAATATTAACAAATATTTAATTTGTTAATCATTTGAAGAAACATTACCTATATTATTTGAATTTTCCAAATCACAGTAACGATTCAAAGTGTGACTGATAAATCACGCCATCGTCCAACTCTACTTTTAATCTGAATGTTTCTATCTTTAAGGATTTTTATGTACGTAACTATTTAAAAATTCTCTCTGAACATGGATGTTACTGTTGAATTTTTTTACTTTTAATTTTATTAATACCGGCCCTGGATAATGCCCCATTTCCTGATCCTTCGAGCATCAATTATTAACAAACATAAATATTTGTCGGCTGCCTTTTTCCATTCTTTCGGAAATGAAGACTAATATTCTCGTCTGTGAGTTAATTTATTATTCTATTTAATGAAAGACGTGCTGTTTTTTTTTTCTTCAGCTAATTAAGCGCAAAGCTAAAGGATCTCTTTTGCCATTGATGAATAATTCATTGATTATTTTATTCTTTATATTGCTAAGATATTTATTTTAGTCTTACCGAATAAAAATCGAGATGAAAATGCTTTTGAATTTTATAACTGTGTCACGGTCGATAATACACTGTATGTTTTACGATCAAAAATGGCAGAAAACAAAGTGAGACAGGATTAAAAAATTAAAGTTTTTTATTTAACATCTATTTCTAAAAATGTGAAGTTTAATAACACACGATGATGATCACGTACAGAAATAGTCGAATCTTACAAACAGATGTAGAAATGTTTAACCGGTAAAAACAAACAAATCTATGAGAAGATAATCCCACAAAGTTACTGAGCTGACAAGGATTCTCATAGCAGCAAAATTAACAGAAACAATGTCACTGGAAGGAACAAACTTATTTATACAGGGTGTATCTAAATATTGCCGAAAACATTTAAGGCATGAAACTTTTTAGTTACACCCCTTCAAAGATTAAAAAAGGGTTTTCTTTTCATTTTCTCTGCGTATTAACCTAAAGACACAAAACTTGGTAAATATTATTTTTCAATAAAATTACACTTTCTAAAATGTTGAGCAGCGCTGTGTCGCAACTGTAGCTGGGTCTAAATCACTTGAAAATATATTGTACACAGTATGGTTTCTTAATTATATTTCAATATTTTCGATAGTGTTGATCCATTTAAACTTGATGGCGACTTACATTTTGGCATTGGAAAAACTTGTCCTTCACTGGATATAAAATTAAGTTGCCCTATAAGATTGATTTAATTTAATTTCATTGCTAAATATATTTAGAATTTTCCAGTTTGCAGTGATAGAGATATATTTTTTTAGTCTGCTTAACCAGCATAAAAAACGTGTGTTTCGATTGGATTGTTGTATTCCTATGCTTCAAGAGGACAGTATTGAATTCCTACCTTTCGTAATCGACCCAAGTAATACGAACTGAATCAAATTAATTTTTATTGCACACTGATTCTTTAAATGCAGAAATATGTCCAGAAACTTAACGATTCGAGCAGGGCATGATTAATACTTATGTAAGCATTTTTATTCATAAATATTAGTCACACTACTTAAGGGTACAGTCTCTCTTGTTTTACTAACGAAAAACATTCTTTGTCAATAAAATTAGTATGTATGGTACACTTTTTTAAATATTTATTTAATTTAGAACAGAAACAAACTTAAAACCATAACAACGCACACCTTGACTTAATTCTCTATAACCTTTGATAATATTATTACAGTGTTCTTACATGTCTAACTTTACTAAAATGAATATCATAAATTCTCCTAATTTATGAATGACTCGTTCTGTGTGATAAATTTTAGAATTATATAAATTTATAGCAGGAAGTTGACTGAACTTTTGAAATAAGCTTTAACTTTAATAAGTAAGTGCTTGGCATTATGGTTATGTTATTATACAGAGGATTTTGAAAAAGTACCGACAATATTTTATTTTCCTATACCGGGTGTCCGCGCGAAAACTTTAAATGGAATTATTTCTGTAGTTTTAAAATATATCGACTTGAAATTTTGGAAGGTCATTAAGGAAGTAGGGGGTAAATTAATAGTGTATAAGATACCACTCCAACGTGATATCTGCCGCCCCCAGTCACCCCCGGTTCAAAAGTTTAAATGACACCCTGTTTTTTTAGTATCTCTATGTGAAAAAATTACTTAATTACATAATGAACTTGGAAAGATATTTACAGCTAAAGGTTCAGATACCAGATAATAAAAAAAAAGAACTAGTAACCTTGGACAGTAGACAAATTTCGAAATAATTAAAGCAGATAGAAACAAAAAAATCTAATTATCCAAAAAAATATAACTTATCACAAAAAAATACAACTTATCACAAAAAAATACAACTTATCACAAAAATAGGTATTCTTATAGACCAACAAAATTTCGCTTTATAAACTAAAGTAAGGACTCTTTTTATTTTTTTAGTTAAATCAAATGTTCAAAATGTTCACCGTTTACATTTAAACAATAGTACAGTCTATTCTCGAAAGCGTTCCGAATATCTTGAAAGACATGTGGTGTTAAATCTCTACATTCCTCTATGATTCTACTACGCAAATCATCAATGGATTGTGGTGGTGTCCTGTAAACAACAGACTTCAAATGTCCCCATAAAAAGAAATCCAGTGGGGTCAAGTCTGGGGAGCGAGCTGGCCATTCAATAGGACCCCTACGACCTATCCATTGTCCTGGAAAAACGGTATTTAAATATTGCCTTACTTCTAAACAGTAATGAAGGGGAGCTCCGTCTTGCTGAAAGTATAACTGATCCTCCTGCATTTGATCTATGTTTTCTTCCAAGCACTGAATGATAAGAGGATGTATTAATTCTTCTAACAACTGGAGATATCTAGGCCCAGTTAAATTCTCGTGATAGAAAATTGGACCAATTATTTGGTTATTTAGAATTCCAGCCCATACATTAATTTTTTGGGGACGTGCTTTGAAAATATTTCTGTCGCCGAAAGTGAGTTAATAAGACAATTTAATAATATTGGGCGTGAGAATAGTCATGATACCCAAAATAGTTACTTATCTGTCCTGTTTTTCGACGAAGGCCAAGGCAAAATGAAGATTTTAGATTGAATGAAAGCTCCTACAGCTACAAAGTAAGAGTTATTAGGAATGGCAGAGCAAAAGAGGTGTCAGCATGTTTTAAAGCATTTCAATCACTTTTTGGAATTAAAGCCTTTAAGAACAACTGGCGAGCCGCCAATTGATGGAAGGCGAAAGCATACCAATAGACCTCATAAGATGTCTCAACAAACCCGTGAGTTGTTATTGCGGTCTGTTGGCTCTTTAAAGGGACGTAAATACAGCTTAAAGGACTATAACAGAGTATACCTCCCGGAAAATATGAATGCTAAAAAGCTTCTTGCATTATTTTTGACTAAACAGCCCCATATTGAGATGTGTTATGAAACATTCAGGCAAATTTTTGTGTCAGAGTTCAACATCGCATTCGGTTATCCACGAACCGAAACGTGCTGTTGGTGTGATGAGCAGAAAGCCAAAATTACTGAGCTGGATAGGAAAATTGCCGCTGAAAAAAGTGATGACAAAAAGGTAAAGTTAGACGAGGAAGGAAGGAAGTTAGAAACTGAGAAGACACTTCATTTAAAGAGAGCAGATTGGTTCTATGAATTGAAAAGACGTACAAAAACTGAAGCGATAAAATCGTCAACTGTAGAGGCTATCGCTATAGATTTTGGAAAAATCTCCCTACTTCAAATATAACTTCTGCTGAGGTGTACTTCAGAAGAAAGCTCTCATTCTATATTTTCAATATGTATATTTTGTCAACTGGTGCTTCAATAATGTACACCTACGACCAAACCATCGCAAAGAAAGGGTCAGATGATCTTTCCTCAATGCTTTATCATGTTTTCAAAACCCATCTGAATCCTGCTGTTAAGAAACTTTATGTCTTCGCCGATTTGTGCTGGGGACAAAACAAAAACCACACCATCATCCAGTTCCTGCACTACGTAACTGCTGATCTAAAACGATTTGACACTGTGACAATCACGTACTCAGTGCGCGGTCATTTCTTTATGGAGCCCGATAAAAACATGGGGTTGGTCCCCAAAAGTGCTAAGGCTGAAACTCCAGATGGCTGGAGAGAGGTTATAGAAGCCGCCCGAACCAAGCCGTATCCGTTTGTTGTGGTATCATGTAAACAAGTTATGTTTAAATGATGACGCAATTTTTTTGTCCTTTAAATTGTACAAGAAAAAGTTCTCTTTACATATTAGGCAACTAAAACAGTTAATGTTCATTCAAATAAAAAATTAAACCGTTGATCATAGGAAAACATATAACGGAAGTTACATGTCATCATTGATAAAAGATCAACGGAAGAACCAGAAGAGAAAATCAAACGTACCAGATCTTCAAGAACCCAACCAGCTCTACCATAGCCCTATAACTCTGCCCAAAGAAAAGTGTGCTGATCTAAAAGTTCTAATGAAGAAGAAGGATCTAAAGAGTACTACAGCCAACTTCTCTCTGCTAACTGGCCTGTACCAGAACCAGAATCAGATGATGTGCCTGATGATCAAAGTGATTTATAGAAATCAGATTATTTCAGTCTTTGGTTTACGGATTGTTTTGTTCTTTATATTGTTCTTTATGTTCTTTATCATGTAGAAATGCCTATAATAGCGAAATAAAGAATTTAAAAAATATAGTTTTTTTCTGTTCAGAGGAAAAACCAACTCACGTCAACATTTGTTTAAATAAAAAATAACCAACTACAAAATAAAAATACAATCATAACATTACTTTAGCTATTAAAAAAAAGCACATATCGATTTAAATATAAAAAATATTTGTCTGGAAAAGCTTAAAAAGCGTCGCATTTCTATCGTTTTAAATTTTGTTTCCTTTCTCCTAAAAATTATAATTTTTTGGACTCTGTTGGTTTTGCCATGTACCCTTCAATTGTATCAAACAAAGAATTCAAAAACATTCTGCATCCGTCGAAATATCGGTCGATAATATAGAATGCTTTTCTAGAAATTAGAGTCATGTACACCATGGGCGTGCGGAATTTTTTTAAATATATAAAATTAATACATTACAATAGCAGTTCGTGGAATTAGAATGGAAATACAGAAACGAAAGTTAAAAACCACGTCATAGGCATTACAATCATCTTGAGTTGTAAATTATATTTTTTCTACGACTCATTAGAGAGGGTCCATTTTTTGAAACTTTTCTCTACGTTTTTGATCAAAATCGCTAAAATTGGTCTGGTCGTCTGTATCTAGAATCTAGAATGAAAGCTCAGATCGATTTGCGGTTTTAACTTTATTTGACAATGTCTTTAAGTCGAGGACCTAGTTGGTTTTTAGAATTTTCGGTTTAACTTTAGTTTTTTAAATATCAGTGTTTTTAAAATGGAATTCATTTCTTATGGGAGCTTGTTTTATCCACTGTGATATGTGTACCATTCTTAAACGTCAATTATTTTAATAACATTCTCTTCATCAAACTTACCTATTTCTGTTAGTTTATATTCTGCAGAATACAAATGATGGTAATTACTGAGGCCCTTCATATGGGGCCTCAGTATTGCATTTGTGCAGACGAAAAAAATTTCTGACCCATTTTTTAAAACTTTTTCATGTTTCTGATCATTCTGAGTCCGAAAATCCAAAAAAAAAAATTTTTTTATCTGGTCGTCTGTATGTATGTATGTATGCCGACACGATAACTCTAGAACGAAAGTTCTGATTGACTTGCGGTTTTGATTTTCTTAAATAATTACTTCTAACTTAGAAGCCTATTCATTTTCAGAATTTTCGGTCCCTCCTAACTACTTTAATAACAATTTTCCTAAGATTTTAGGAATTTCAAATATTTCTAACGTCAAAATTCCTAACATTCTTTACATTCCATAAATTGCAAACATTCTCTAACGACCTGTCAAACAACAGCTGTTGATAGTAAAGGTGAAATTTCTAACGCGGGTTGCGACCTTATACTTGCAACCATATAGCCATTTTGGAGGCTATTTTCATTCGAAATTAGTCGCCAAGCCTGCCAATTTATGAAAAATATATAAGCATTTTCTTAAAAATGACTTTTTTATGGTGGTGCTATTAAGCGTACTACTATTTCGCCCCTAGCCACAAAAACACCTTCATCAAATTTACTGGTTCTCTGTCGCAACCCCATAGAATAATTAAACGGCCATTTTATTTGGCAAACATCAAAATAATGCTTGGCTGTGTCTGTCAAGTATCAAGATGTCAACTGTGATATGTGAATGGCCCTTGAATGTCAAATTATTTAAAAATGTATACTTCGTTTGATATTTATTGCAAATAATAAATATCTCAATTTAGGCTTTCCATAAATAAAGGTACATCAAGACAGATAATATAATGTTCTTATACAAAGCACTTTTTTATTATATAAAAGAGAGGTAGGATATAATGCCCATTTCAAATTTGGATCAATTATGATACCGATGTATTTTGTTGTGTTTTTCATTTTAATTATAAAGTTGTCATTTATTTGTATGTTGAAAGAAGGCCTTTGTAAATTACATTGCTCTCTATGGATCTACTTTAACACAAAATTAGTTTTGTGGCTATAAGTTGCAATAGCCTATCGTCGTAAAACTATTAATAATTTAAACATAGTAAGTAGTAATAATATAACATCAAGTAATTTTTTTAAATAAAATACATGATCTCAAAACAAATAATCTATAATAAATGCCGATAAAACGAGGGTTAAAATAACAATAAATTAAGGGAAATACTTAAAAACGGCAGGTTTAAAGAGTATTATCACAAGAAAGTATATCCGTTCTGTTTATTTATCAAGTATTGTTTGAGGTTACTTTTGAATACATTTATTGTTTTTTTTTTAATTTCTGTAGGCAGTTTATTACATTTTTTAAACCTTTAATAAAAATTGTATTCTGGGAACTTTTAGTGATGGCTTGCTATACATGAAAGTTTGGTTTCTTGTATTATAGTTGTGATATTGCGAATTATATTGAAGTTTTTCTAATAGATCTGATGCGATGGTACTATGTCATTTTTATTTTATAAATAAATATCAGTCATGTACTGAACATAATCCTGAACTGAAAGCCAATTTATTTCTTTTAACATAGTTGCAATACTTATCCTTCTGTCCTTTATTAATAGAATATAAATAGGCGAAGTAAGAAGCCCAAATATTTTACATGAGCAGGCTTAAGAGGTAAAGGGGCCAATTATTATTGAATAAATTGCTCGAACAAGTTTTTAAACCCTAATCAAAAGGCGATATAGAATGGTTTTAAAACTCAAGGCTTGTGAAAATCATCACATGCCAATGCTTCACAAACCAAAAAATTCAACGTGCTAATACTACTATCGGCTTTCAGTATTTCGTTCCGAGTTAAATAATTTCTCGTTTTTGTTACGCTACGAGTTTACCCTTGTGGGCCTCAGTCTCGATAAGGTGGGAACCACCATTTTACGTTTCTCGAATTTTGAGTGAAACTAGTTTCCACTAAAAAATAACACATAGTTTTCTTTCATTAAAGTTAGAAGAGTCGAGGAATTAAAGTAGGCCACCCTGATGTAACCTTGTTAATACCAACAAATATACGCTATTTTATGTACATTTTGGTTTTTGTGATCCGACGGAACTAAAAATAGTTTAATTTCTCAAATAAATGCAGTAGGTGATCGTAAAATGCACTCTCTCACATGCACTTATTTCGCTCTCGAATAGTTCTAGACGAAAAAATAAAACATTAAATTACTGTTGTAATTTTCATTCGCTGGCATTATCATTGCCGACCAGTGTAGCGGTCTAAACCACAACGTATATACATGGAATTCCTAAATATTGCCAGTTAGGGGTTAGGGATCTGCGAGCAGTGGCGCAAAGAGCCAGATTATATCGGATTAACGCAAATATTTGTTGTAAAAAAGTTTAATTCCGTTATTTTCTTGTTATTAACAAGATTATCAGATAGTTACAGACTATTAAAAATTTATGAGACACATGTTTATTCATGAGAAAATTGGAGTTCATGTCACTCAGATAGGTCACATTCACGAGCTCTTTCTTTCTTATTTTCTCTAAACTCTAAGCAAATAGGTAATGTTTTTAATATATCAATAGTTCGTTATGTGTCCAGGCGGGTTGTATATTTACTGAGAAGTAGTGACAGAGTTGAAGTTGCCATATTTGTCATAGGATGTGCTTTTAAATGTTTAAACGAAATCAATACATAATGAAAAAGTTATTTTAAAAATTATTTTATTTTTTACAGATTTTTTGAAATCCTAATTTGAATGATCCGAAAATAAGTCTGTCTGCAATTTTAATATCAATATTATTCTTGGGAACTGCTTAGTAACTTACCTTACGATGTAGGGAAAAGTGCCAAAACATTTTATTAATTATTTTATTACTGCATGTACAAGAATTTTCACAAAAAGTAAACAAAATATCAAGATTGCAGAAAACTTAAAAATTCCAACCTTATAAAGCGAGGTAAAGGAACTACTCTAATACCAGACAACCGCTCATGAATTAATATAGTCATTTTATAACAATCGTATAGTATATTACATAACAAGTAGTAAGAAGCGTTAGGGTCTAGTGCAGTAATTCCATGAGCATGTAATTATCTACAACCAGAATTATACATTCATAATAACGAGAAGGCTTTCATAATTTATAATATTTCTTAAAAATATTGTGAATTGAAAATGCAA